CACTATACATTCTCTATAGAGTTGTAGTAGTGATTGTGTTTAAGAAAACTCACTAACTAACAAGAGCTAACCTCCAACGCTGGCACCCAGGATGTGTAAACAATATATTTTTTCACAAGATTTACAAAGCGCATAACACAAAGATAAGTTATATCAACCACTTACTTCTATGCCACGGCATAAATGACTTTCTTCTTTTCTCTCCAATATTTTCATCCGTTGTATCTAGGCTACTGTCTCCTGATTTACTCTCCTTTGATTTTTTACTCTAAACAATTATTGAAAGAAAATATAAATATACACATAAGCTGAATCATTCCATTACTGAACTTTGATACTTAGTATTGTCAATTCATTGTCAGTAACATCACGGTCAAATGCCATCCTTGTGATTGGCACTTTACACCTAATTTAGAATAATCTCCTAAAATGAAGTAAAGTGGTTTAGGAAATTATAAAAGTGTGGTGATTGGTGATTAAACACCACAGGCGAGCTTTAGTACTCCAATAATTCAGAATTTGTTGCCATAGAAACTGACTTTATCATTTCTCATGGTGATCAAAATAATCAGTTAAAAGATGGAATGCAACTTTACACAACATACCTTTTCTTTTTTCTTCTTCTCCCCCTTCTTGTTCGATTTCACATCTTCTTTGCCATCTCTTACAGAGCTATCATCTGTCGCGCTGTCTGCCCATTCTTTTGGCGGTGGAATGGGCAATGATTTGCCTTCAAGTTCAGCTTTCATGCACTCACGGTATAAATCACTCTTCAGAAAACGTGAATAACTGTCAAATTTCATTAACTGGAATATCTACAAACAAAAATGAATCTATCAAATCAACCATGTGAACTCATCAAATAATGTACTTATTAATTCAAAAATTATTTTTCTATAATTGTTTGAAAATAGTTTGCTAGAGTGAAATGCAATAACAATACATTGACACTGCTTCAATCTGCAACCACAAAAACATAAACTATAAATATTCATGACTGAAGATGCAACATTTAAATCATATCGCATAAACAAAAACAAAATTGTTTTCTCTGCTGGGCATGAAATATTCACTGACAACATTAAGTAATGAACATTGGCATACAAACAGTGTACATGCATTTGTTAGTGCCTTCTGATACAAGGTGAATACACAATATGTAAAATGACAGATGTTGCATAATACTTAGTGCAGACTCCATGTACGGTGCATCAATACGAAAAATCACTAATAATTCTGTGACACAAGATCAAATATTTTCTCTAACACAAGCGTTTCTACATAAACAAATGATGTTGCAATTTTCTGTAGCAAAGTAATGCGTTGCCGTTTAAGTACAAAGGACGAAATATGAGGCAACTCGCAGTCAGGAAGAATTTAATGATGTGCTTGACAAAGAGAAAATACTTTTATTAAAGCTGAAATTGAAAATCAGCTATAAAATATTTTAGCCCTTTTTTTAAACAAAATAATCTAGAAAGAGAACAGAATAAATACAATTATAATCACATCAGATGATTACACATAAACCCAATTACCATAGAAACCATTCCCCACACCAACGATACATCATTTCATGCAATATCTAACGATCTCTTTCGCCATTTTCCCACCAAAATGTTTAAAATTTTCTTTTTTCCCCCCTTTTCTTTGATAGAACCTTGTTTAAAACATATTAATTTACCGGTAAAATGAAAGCAGACAAATCTGCAACAGTTTTGTTGAAAATAATGAACAATGGAGGGAAGTGGCGACAAAAAGAATGAATAAAAGTGTTTATCTAAATTTACATCGGCACATAATTCCTGTACACCTATATCCACCAAAATAAATCAGTTTCATTTTGTAGGACTTACTTTACTCATAAAACCCTGGAGATCGATGCAATCAAGGACAGGCAGAAAAAAAACAAAATTGAAAAGAACACAAACTAAATTAGTATTGGTAGGAGGGAAAGGACCTACTGATGATAAATAAAAGAATAAAAGTTGAGAAGCAGATCTTAGGATATAAAAACAAAATTACAGAGTTTCTAATTTTAAGGTACTTTTCAGATTTTCCGGAGATAAATGAAATTATTCATCTTCGTAATAATTTCATCAGTCAACAACGTTGCCTCGTCTCCGGAATTGTCCTGTCAAATCGTTAAAATTCATCACAGGCGCCAAATTTCATGCTTATCCCAGAACAGGCTAATTTTATTGTCTTTGTACTCTACCTGTTTCTGTTGCATATTATATAACGTAGGTGTAGGGTTTTCTAACTGTGCCTCAACCTCTTGTCTTGCTTGGCTGTCCAAGTTCACCGGCATGTTGGCTTTCTTTGACAGATGTTTATTATAAATATCCCTGGCACATGCCTTCATCTACAAGCAGAAGAAAAAAAAGTTTTTTATAATTTTATAATTTTGCATCAAATTCGAGAAATGTGAACATATAAAGTTCCATTATTTTGAATAAATTACCAGGTTTATTAAAATACAAATAGTCCAAGCAGTGATTCATCTACAAAAATAATCGAGGAACACTTTATATGAATTTTCTGACCCAAAATAGTGCTATATATACATAATAAAGTTTTTCAAAATGGATGGTCACATAAAGCTGGTTCTAAACAGTAACTTAGGTGGTCACATACCTCTTGGGCATCTGTAAGTTTCTTGTATTTCTCACAAGCTATCCAAAATGCGATATTTTCCTCGCTGAATTCCTTCTTCAAGAATTCCTGCAATGTATGAATACAATAAAGTAAACATCTGGAGAATGCGTGAATGGCAATATAGTCACGGCAATGACAATCATGATGTCACGCTCAACTGAAGCATGCGTTACTCAAGTCATCTATTAAAACCTGCGTACAAAATAAATTCTTCAATCTAACTTCTTTTATGTCAACATTGCTCGATATACATGAAGGCACATTGGTTTTAGTGCTGAAATAGCGCACAATTTTGACATGGTCAGGTACAATATAAGACAAATTCACCACAATACACAAACATACAATATAGTCACACATAAATCCACCATATGGAAACACACATCTCTCGTAATACTATAATATCTACT